CCTGGGGGGCATCAACGTTCGCATCTAAATACCGAACGGAATCCACCGAACTACCAACCGAACGACGACCCCCTACAGCGGGCCGCGTGGCGGTCATTAACTTGTGGTTTCTGCGGTTAACCGCAGGTCAAGTACCCTGCTACCAGGTGGTCCTCATTCCCTTACCGAACGAGCCCCACTACCAGACAGACAGCGGGACTTCGCATGAACTGATACCGAGTTTAGTTCCACGAGTTAGACACGAAGTCCCGCTGCCCGCTAAACCAGCAGAAAACATGGCCGCCAACAAAGACTAACAATCTCAAAATGCCGAACGGACTTTATACGGCAGAAACAGTCCATTCTGTTCGTGGGATTAGAGCGCCATTCGCCTGTTTTATATACACGAACGCGAGCCTTCAGATGAATGGTAGAATGAGTGGTTTCCCTGTAATAATGTACAAGTTATGGATTTTCATGTAGTTTTCTGGGACATAATAAAACGTGGTCTTTTGTGCGCTTGGAGATAATTAGATTGTAAAACCGTTGGCCTCATTATCTCCAAGCTGGGCGGGTACTAATTCAAATGATACAGTGTACTGTGATTGGTCACCTGTTTGTACTGTACCTGTATTCCATCAGGTCCACAGGGGGCTGTCCTTGGACCTGAGGAATCACATAAATTGCGATTGCTATGTGCCAGTAAAGCCAGTTCGTTTTGACCCTCAACTTGCAGCCTCGACTCATGTTGTAGGGATCCGGGATATTGAGGCTTATTTCGTGCTTGGGGATATTCTACACTTGCAGCTTGCTACCGAAAGACCTCCGTTCGACTCTCTGCAGCGGGGACCAGGACATCCAAGCGATCAACCCTCCTGCTAGACCGGGGGCAATCGTAACAATTGGTGGCAGCGGCGGGATCATCCTGGCATTCCTGAGAGAGATATATAAGACAGATGGAGAACAACTACGATAAGCTGAAGCGTACCACGTTAAAGGATATACTGGAGAGCCGTGGGGGAAACGCAAGTAACCGGCCGAGAAGGGAATTGATTGCCTACCTAAACGAGTTGGATCTAAGCTTCACCATAGCAGAACCGACGGTAACCCCCAGCGATGAAAAGACAAGGATTGTCCGGGAAAGGCTGCCTCTATACGGGCCGAACCCCTCCGTAGAGCTGGTGCAGCAACTAATGGCAGAAGCCGAGGCGGACATACAGCGGGCTCGAGCCCACGAGCTGAACCTAGTGACCGCACAACAGGGAGCCACCGCTAATAGCCACACGGGCTCCCCGGAGACTACAGAACAGCCGAAAATTCCGTTCGCGGCGTTCAAGCCGTTCGCGGAAAATGAGATGGGGATAGATGAATTTTTGGCAGATTTCGAAAGACAGTGTGCTCTGCATCAGCTCCCCATTTCCGCGTGGCCACGTATCCTGGCAGGAAAGTTAACCGGGCGGGCCATGGAAGCTTTCAGGACACTCAGCGCCGAAGAGGTAGCCCAGTATCCCACAGTGAAGGAGACGCTACTGAAGCGGTACGCTGTGACCCCAGACACTTACCGAAGGCAGTTCCGCAACACAAAGAAAAAAACGAATGACACCCATGCCGAATGGGCACACCGCATGCGGAGAGCTGCTACCCATTGGATTACCGGGTGTCGGGCCGTCACGGCCGCAGAAATATTGGAACTTTTCTTGTTAGAACATTTTTATGAGGGTCTGGAACAAAAAGACCGGGAGTGGTTGAAAGACCGGCGTTCCGCTAACCTACACGAAGCAGCCCGGTTACACGGGATGCGCAATTACAGGAGTTCAGCAATGCCCGAACGGTAACTCGCCCCGAAGCAAGAGAGGGGTACCGACCAACTCCACGAACGGAGTTTCGCAACCCTACCCTCAGGAACGCTCCCGACCCACATGTTATAAGTGCAAGCAGCCGGGGCACCTGATAGCGAGTTGCCCCCTCAACAACAATTACCCCGCACGGAACTATAATTCCTCTCCAACGGGAAACAATCGTCCAGCTCGAGCGTTTTGCCTGGAACAAGACAGTCCTCTAGAAGAGTACCTGGGACCCCTACATGAAGCTAATCCTGTGTATGCCGCCAGTGACAATAGACAACACCACCGGCAAGAGGTACTGCTAGAGGGTCGTCCCACACAGGGGTTAAGAGACACCGGGGCCACGATCACCTTGGTACAAAGCCGGTTAGTTCCCGAATACAAACGCTCACCTGACACAGTGGCTGTCCGGGTGGCTGGAGGGGACATATACAAACTACCCACAGCAAAGGTACACTTGGATTGGGGTGCGGGAAAAGGACTTGTGAGGGTGGGAATAATGGATAATTTGCCAGCCGACCTGGGACCTATGACTTCAGCTTATGCCCCTTCTTACAACGCTGAGGCACATCCCGTGACGACCCGGTCACAAGCAGGACGAGTACGAGACCCTTCACCAGTGCGGGAGGCTCAGGTAAGACTTAACCCGACTGTGACCACCCCTCCTACCCCTTTGCCCTGGGACACCCCTGCAGCCTTTGAGGCTGAAACCAAAACTGATCCGACGCTCCAAAAATATAGGGAACGGGCTGACACAGGGGCTGGGGGACCAGACCAGGAGACTTTTGCATGGGAACAGGGCCGACTGTACCGACACACAGAGAAAAAGGGCCACCGGAGGAGACATTTAGTAATACCCCACAAGTATAGGCGGGATATCCTCCGGGTGGGTCATGATATTCCCTTAGCCGGGCACCTGGCAGTAACCCGTACCCTGCACCGTATTACCCATACCTTGTTCTGGCCAGGAGTACATGCCGATGTAAGGTCCTATTGTAATACGTGTGAGGTGTGCCAACGGGTAGGCAAACAAGGAGACCACCCCAAGGCACATCTTGTGAACATGCCCATTATCGACGAGCCATTTAGCCGGGTAGCCATCGACTTAGTTGGGCCCCTAGCCACCCCTAGTCCCTCTGGCAAGAGATACATTCTTACCATAGTGGATTACGCTACCCGCTACCCAGAAGCTGTGGCTTTATCTAATATCCAGGCAGACACAGTGGCTAATGCCTTAGTGCAGGTATTCTCTCGGGTAGGATTCCCTAGGGAGATCTTATCCGACAGAGGATCACAGTTCACGGCAGAGCTGACCCAGCAGCAATGGCACGTTTGCAAAATTAAATCCCTGCTTAGCTCTCCGTACCACCCCCAGACCAATGGGTTATGTGAGCGGTTCAACGGAACCCTCAAGCAGATGTTAAAAACCTTTACTCAGGAGTATAGGGACTGGGAACGTTTCCTGCCGCACCTCCTGTTCGCTTACCGGGAAGTGCCCCAGGAAACCACCGGGTTCTCTCCCTTTGAGCTGTTATACGGTCGCAAGGTACGGGGTCCCCTGAACCTGATCCGTGAGCACTGGGAGGGAGAGACCGAGAACGCCGGGGTCCCCATCGTGCCTTACGTACTGGAGCTCTGGGACCGAATGGAGCAATTGGCTAAGTCAGTCCAGGCCAACCTCCAGGCGGCCCAGGGGCGACAGAAAGTCTGGTACGACCGGGGGGCATGGCGAAGAAGCTCCTGTCTCGGGCAGAAAGTCATGGTACTAAAACCTGTTAAGACAGACAAGCTGCAAGCAGCCTGGCAGGGTCCCTACCAGATAGTGGAAAAGAGAGGGGACACCACTTATGTAATTGCCAGCTGTCACGATGAAAACTTAAGAAAGATATTTCACGTGAACATGCTGAAGGAATACTTGCAGAGACCCGAGGAAGTGTCAGCCATATGTAGCCCTGCGCACGAGGACGCAGATAGTTTACCCATACCCGACTTATTAACCCCTAAATCCCCGGCTGAAATAGTGACCCAAGTGCAGATTGGGGACAGACTTAGCCCAGTTGAGAGGGAGCAGCTACACAAACTGCTCCGAGAGAAACAAGCCATGTTCTCCCAAGAACCAGGGTACACTGAGCTGACCACTCACCAAGTAGATACCCCCGGCCAAAACCCTTTGAGACAGGCGCCCTACCGAATTCCGGAGGCAGTAAGAACAGGCATGAAAAGAGAAATAGATGAGATGCTGCGACTAGGGGTCATTGAAGCTTCCGATAGCCCCTGGGCATCCCCGGTGGTTCTGGTCCCCAAAAAGGACTGCACCACCAGATTCTGTGTGGACTACTGGAAACTCAATGACAAAACTGTCACCGATGCCTACCCCATGCCCAGAGTGGATGAGCTACTAGATCGCATAGCCAGGGGGAACTACCTAACTACCATTGACCTCTGTAAGGGTTACTGGCAAATTCCCCTGGCCAGGGAGGCTGTCCCCAAGTCGGCCTTCGTCACCCCGTTCGGTTTGTACCACTTTAAGGTCATGCAGTTCGGGATGAAGAATGCCCCCGCTACATTCCAACGCTTGGTGGACAAACTCCTTGATGGCTTCCAGGAGTTTGCCTGCGCATACCTGGACGACATAGCAATCCATAGTGCGACCTGGGAGGAACACTTGGCTCATGTGGGAATAGTTCTGGACCAGATTCGAGCCGCCGGCCTGACGCTAAAGCCAGAAAAATGTCACTTTGGAATGGCTGAGGTGCAGTACCTGGGCCACCAGGTAGGCTGTGGGAAGCAACGACCGGAGCCAGCTAAAATAGAAGCAGTCGCCAACTGGCCCACTCCACACACTAAGACCCAAGTGCTAGCCTTCTTGGGTACCGCTGGGTACTACAGGAGATTTGTACCGGAGTATAGCGCCATTGCCAAACCCCTGACTGACCTGATAAAGAAAAACCTTCTCCGACAGGTCCTGTGGTCTCCCCACTGTGAAACTGCTTTCCAAGCCCTCAAAACTGCGTTGATTAATGCTCCTGTCTTGGCTGCCCCAGCCCCTAATCGACGTTTTATTGTCCATACAGACGCTTCCATGTTCGGGCTGGGAGCTGTCCTCAGCCAAGTAGGAGATGATGGGAAGGAACATCCGATTGCCTACATCAGTCGAAAACTCCTACCACGCGAAGTCAGCTATGCTGCAGTAGAAAAGGAAGAAGTGTTTGGCTCTGGTGTGGGCATTAAAGAAGTTAACCCCCTATTTGTATGGACAGGAGTTCACTCTGGTTACAGACCATAACCCGCTAGTGTGGCTCAACCGGGTCGCTGGGGACAATGGCAGATTGTTACGCTGGAGCTTATCCCTGCAACCCTTTAATTTTACAATCACCTACCGACCCGGGAAGCAGAACGGCAACGCCGACGGATTATCCCGGCAAACAGATCTGAGCCCAGCATAACTCTACGAGTCTGGACAGCCTTAGTCCGCCCCGAAAAGGGGTCAGACGGTGTCTGCCAGAGTGTTCCACAAAGAGGGAGCATTGTTACAAAAGACTGAAACTAACTATGTTACTGTTTGCTAACCGATGGATACTGTTTGTCCCCGCATAAGTTTAAAACGAAAAGACGCACGAATGGATTACCCGAACCATTATAAGGGACCCATTCGTGGTACGAACAGGGGACCCCCCAGAATTGGCGTGTGCCGCCACTTAACCCCGTCACCCCGCAAACTGCCGAACGCTCGACCACCCAGCCAGCGGCGTGTGGCAGCCATTAACCACCCAGGCAGCTGCGGTTTGTGGTTAACCACAACGTAATTGATAAGCCTGGGGGCATCAACGTTCGCATCTAAATACCGAACGGAATCCACCGAACTACCAACCGAACGACGACCCCCTACAGCGGGCCGCGTGGCGGTCATTAACTTGTGGTTTCTGCGGTTAACCGCAGGTCAAGTACCCTGCTACCAGGTGGTCCTCATTCCCTTACCGAACGAGCCCCACTACCAGACAGACAGCGGGACTTCGCATGAACTGATACCGAGTTTAGTTCCACGAGTTAGACACGAAGTTCCGCTGCCCGCTAAACCAGCAGAAAACATGGCCGCCAACAAAGACTAACAATCTCAAAATGCCGAACGGACTTTATACGGCAGAAACAGTCCATTCTGTTGGTGGAATTAGAGCGCCATTCGCCTGTTTTATATACACGAACGCGAGCCTTCAGATGAATGGTAGACTGAGTGGTTTCCCTGTAATAATGTACAAGTTATGGATTTTCATGTAGTTTTCTGGGACATAATAAAACGTGGTCTTTTGTGCACTTGGAGATAATTAGATTGTAAAACCGTTGGCCTCATTATCTCCAAGCTGGGCGGGTACTAATTCAAATGATACAGTGTACTGTGATTGGTCACCTGTTTGTACTGTACCTGTATTCCATCAGGTCCACAGGGGGCTGTCCTTGGACCTGAGGAATCACATAAATTGCCATGCTATGTGCCAGTAAAGCCAGTTCGTTTTGACCCTCAACTTGCAGCCTCGACTCATGTTGTAGGGATCCGGGATATTGAGGCTTATTTCGTGCTTGGGGATATTCTACACTTGCAGCTTGCTACCGAAAGACCTCCGTTCGACTCTCTGCAGCGGGGACCAGGACATCCAAGCGATCAACCCTCCTGCTAGACCGGGGGCAATCGTAACACAAGTGTTAACCCTAAGAGTGATGAATCCTTATTTGACATTCCAGGAGTATGGGAAGAAAATAATCCTCCAGGACTTGCTCGTAATATCCCACCAATACATATTGAGTTAAAACTCGGGGTGTATCCTGTTAGCCTTTGTATGTTGTTCTTTTATCTACCCCAAAAGCTGTAAAGGTGGCGGAAGTGACTCTTTGGATTCATCATTCTAAGGTTAAACCAGCGGCAGATTCTTGGCAAGCTACTCCAGATCCTGAGAATCCTTGCAGGACCCGGTTGAAGCGTGCAACTCAGTCGGAGTGACGAGGGGATATCGAGACATTCTAGTTAAAAGTCTACAAAGATCATCAAGTAGGTGTTTTGACGGCCATAATAAAGCCTGACCACCTGCCTACGTGTCATAGCCAGAGTGTCTTGAAGGGATCTCTGTGAAGGAAAAGTGAGGATCAGAAGAACAACATCCTTGCAGCCCTCACAATCGGGAAGCTGAGAGGCCATCGCACGGTTGAAGAAAAATGAGGATTTCAGGAATAATGTGTTTTATTATGTGTCTTGAGGATTTTTCAGGAAGGTAGGAGTACAGACATACCGAATTGCGATAGTTGCATTAAGACTACTAAAACAGGTAACCAAATATCCTAAACTCTCATCTGGCACTCACAGTATGAATGTAAGGGATCTGTATCTAAATGTAGATATTTGGATATTGATTATAGTGTGTGCAAGCCAATATCAGGAGAGTCTAAATGTTTTGATCCCCAATTCCAACCCCGTACAATTTGGTTGGTAATTCGGAATAGTAACTCCCAGGGGACATTAATAAATAGGACTGTGATAAGCACCATACATTCCACGGGTATTCTACTATTTGATGCATGTAAGGCGATTTCGGGTAGTGGAAGACTTTGGAATGTATGTGGTAATCTTAAATGGGAACGAACTTATGGGTTCAATGACAATAAATATTTATGCCCTAGTAAAAGATCTACTGATCCTGATTGCCCAAATAGAGACTAACTTCTGCCCCTATTGGTCATGTGTAGGTTGGGCAACCTGGGAAAAACAGTGGATCAAGATATGATTATCCAAAGGTTGCCTACCACACCATACTGTAAAACTATGTGTGTAACCCCGTTCACATGACCATTTCCAATCTGCAGCACTTTATTGACAGGTTTGGAGGTCTGTTTGGGTTCCAAATATATGGCACAGGAGTAGATCCAGGAACAATAATATATGTAGGTCTTGAAACTGAGACAGTGGCAACTCAAACTTATCAGGTTTCTCATTCCTTGTATGAGGAGATGAGTATTGAGGATAAAATTCCCCATAATGTTAAGAACCTATTTATTGATTTGGCTGAGGGTATTGCAGGTAGTCTTAATGTAACTAATTGCTATGTGTGTGGAGGTACTAATATGGGAGATCAGTGGCCATGGGAGGCAAAGGAAATATGGTACCCTGGCTCTGAGACATATGAACAACAGATACCTTTCCAGTCTGATCATCAAGTAAGTACTAGAAGTAAATCGGAATGGCGGTTAAAAACCTCCATTATAGGTCATGTTTGTATAGCCAGGAAAGGGACAATGTATAACACGTCTGTAGGTGAGCTAACTTGCTTGGGACAAAAAGCCTATAATGTTAATACTAAAAATACTACTTGGTGGTCAGCTTCAAATGTCTCGGAACCTACTAATCCGTTTGCCAATTACACTCATTTAAAGGAGGTATGGTTTGACTTATCGGCTACATCTAGTTGGAAAGCCCCAGCAAATTTATACTGGATCTGTGGTAGGAAAACTTATTCAGAGTTACCACAAGATTGGGAAGGGGCATGTGTATTAGGTATGCCAAAGCCATCCTTCTTCTTGTTGCCAATCGAAACAGGAGAGACCTTGGGAGTTAAGGTTTACGATGTAAATCATAAAAGGGAGAGAGCATCCTTGAATATAGGTAGCTGGGAAGATAATGAGTGGCCCCCTCAACGTATTATTAATTATTATGGACCTGCTACTTGGGCAGAAGATGGCACTTATGGATATAGAACTCCGATATATATGCTCAACCGCATTATTAGACTACAGGCGGTGGTTGAGATTATTACTAATGAGACAGCTCAAGCGCTTAATCTTCTAGCTAAGCAAAATACCAAGATGTGATCAGCCATATACCAGAATAGGTTAGCCCTTGATTACTTACTATTAGTAGAAGGAGGTGCATGTACCTACTCAGGTCTGGAATGGGTGTAACCTAAGTAATTGGTTTGGAAGTTGGTATGAGCAGCTTGGAGGAATTAAGACATTAGTAGGAGGAGTAGAATTTATTATATTTTTTTTTGTGCCTCCTCCTGCCCTGTCTAATTCCATTAGTGGTAAGGTCCCTACGTAGTATTATAGAGAGTACTATAGAGAGAAAGACAGCTGCCCATGTAATGGCTATCTGGAAGATATGATCCCCTAGCCCGAAGAGAATATATTCAGGATGAAGAATGTTGAAGGAGTTTTTAAGATGCTTACAATGTCTACTCTGGTTCAATGGCTACTTGAGAGATGTAGGTAAAACTGTGATTGGTGATGCATCTGGAATAATGTTATATCAGAGGCATCAAAGGGGGAATGTGATGGGATTCCAGCATGGTCAAAATTTAGTAGGCCAAAATCTCCATGTGGCATATGTGTATGTTGTGTCAGTTAGTTAGCTACACGTAGCTAGGATACTGTCATCAGTGTACTGAGCATGTGCAGGAATGCAGGAACTGAAATTGCACTTATTTCCTTTGTCTTGGATGAGCCATGTGGTTTGACTAGATGTACAAGTCTATATTCTGCTCATTGATTGGTTAAAGGTATATGTGGGTGTAGCTATTAATGGGAGGAGTTATAGTGCTATATAAGGAATGTACACTATGTGTTGGTATCTCAGAATGTTGGAACAGGAGTTCATCTGAGACCCGATCGGTAATGTGAATAAAGGCCTCTTACTTCCTGAAGACTTGTGTCCAATATCTCTGTGTTTGGCTTCTGCGTGCTTACACTGCAACAATATGGCAGATCATATGGGTGGGGCATTGAGTGGGGAAATGAAATAAACTAAAATAAACTACCCCTAACACAATAATGTAGTATAGTGTGACGAGACCAATCTCGCCACATTGCATTGGAGAAGCCTGGTTGCTCGCCTGCTGCCTTTGGACTATGGTCCCCTGTTAAAAGACATCTTTTTTACCTGCAGAAAAGCATCATTCGTGCTTTTCTGCCTGGGGTTCGGTAGTTTTGGTTGAATGTGTTATACCCCAGATAGGAATCCCATGGAGCCCATTCGTATGAAACTGACTGTAAAGACTTTGGCTCCATGGCGATTAAACTGTATTTGTGTGGTCTGAGTGCCATTCACTTAATAATGTGCGCTCAGACCTGAGCTATCTGGGGATATGTTACATGTCTGTGTTTTATGTAATAAATGTTACTTTATGTATTTTAAAGTATAATACTGGTTTTGTGTCCCCACATGTGTAATGGAGTTTTGCCTTTGTCCTGGGAGATAATTGAATTACTTCTCCAGGGCAGAGGGGAGGAAGCCAGGATGCATTGTGGGGATGTTTTACTTCTGTATGTCTGTAATTGGTACATGTCTGTCTTTTGTTACAGTCTTCCATCTGGTCCCCTAGGGGAGTGTCCACCAGGTGGGAGACCTGCATAAATACTGGGCAGGTAGCCCTCATTAAACAGACCACTGCTTGACCC